CACCTCCTCCTCCTCCTCCATTTGGTGTTGACTTTTGCTCCTGCGACACCGACCTCCTCCATCATCCCCCCGCCCACCCCTCGCCCCTCCTCTGTTCCCCCCTTCATCCGCTCCTCCTCCTCCTTCGCCCCCCCGCTCCCCCATCGCCCTCTCCCCCCCGTGCATCCCCATGTCGCTCCCTGCCGCCCCAGAGTGCCCAGGACTCAGGGAAGAAGGATAGGCGAAGCGATTCTGGGGAAAAGGAGAGCTCCAAGAAGGACAAGGAGGAGAAGAGCGGGGGCCTTGGCCTGCCTTCGACAGGGCGGCCTGGGCGGCCGCCCGATCGCGTGACGCCGGATCTCGGGGAAGCTCGCTTCCCAAGTAGCAGAGGACATGGTGCGAGGAGAGGAGGGCGCTGGATCGGGTGGATGGGGGAAAGGGGGGGGGCGGGGAGAGAGATGTGGAGGGAAGGGGGTGAGAGTAGATGGTGTGGGGAAGAGGGTCATACGAGGGGGGGGACGGGGGACGGGGACCTGGAGGGAAGCGATCAGCAGGAGGAGCAGGGGTAAGTAGGGAGTGGGGGGACTGGAGGGATGCAAGGGGGACGAGGAGCAAGAAGAAGAGTCAGAGGAAGGGGAGGAGGAGGAGGACGACCGGGGGAACAGACGAGGGAAGACGCAGCGTGATTCTCGGCAAGACCCTTGGCGGCCGCTCTCCTCAGATCCTTCGCAAATGGGCGCAGATACCGGCAGGTGGCTCGCGCGCCCGAACAATTTAGGTAGTCCTGCTCAGATGGTCGTCGTTGTTTTATTCCTTGTTTTGCCGATCGGCGCGTGCCCTCGCACCCCGCCCCCCTCCCCCCCCCAATGGAGTGTTTTGCCGATCGGCGCGGGCCCTCGCACTCCCCCCCCACCTCCCCTCCCCAAAGGAGTAGATCTTGGCTGTTTTTTGGCGCCTGGAGTCTCCCCCAGAGGCAGCACTCTTGCAACCAATCGCACTAAGCAGAGGTCCGCACTAAACAGTCCCTTCCCCCCCTTCCGCCCAATGTCGAAACGCCGAGTAAGAAAACGCTCACATTGGGAGGGTACACGCTGCTTCTTCTCATGCTTGCCTTGCGGCGACTCCACGTCCTTCCTCGTCTGGCCATCTTTTATCGTTGCGCTCGGTCGGCCTGCCTCGGCCGTGGAGTGGGGGAGGTGGGGAGGGAACGAGGCAGAAGGAGGAGAAACTGAGGCAGGAGGAGGAGGAGGAGGGAATGAGGTAGAAGGAGGGGAGGAGGAGGAGGAGGAGGAGGAGGAGGAGGAGGAGGAGGAGGAGGAGGAAGGCATGGGAGGGAGGAGGGGAAAGGAGGAAGCGGGGGAAGAGGAGGAGGAGGCAATGAGGTAGAAGGACGAGCAGGCGGAGAAGGTGGGATGCCTGTCAAGGCTGCCAGGCCGAGGCCATTACTTCCAGGCCTTCTGATCCAGCCCCGCGCGCCGAGGCAAAGGTGATGGCAAGAAGAAGTCCAAGGACGACAGCGACAGCGATAGCGACAGCGACAGCAAAGCTCGGAAGGCCACGGGCGCCCCATGCCTGCCCCCTTGCCTGCCCCACCCTCACCTACATACGTACGGTTATGTCTGTCCTAGCTCTCTCTCTCTGTCCCTCTCTGTCTCTCTCCCCCATCTCCGTCTTCGTCACCTCGCCTCCCCTGCTTCCCCTCCCCTCGCCAGTCCTCCCCCCCACCTCTGCTCCCTGCTCCCCTACCCTGCCCCTCCTCCTCGCCTGCCCTGTCGGCCCGCGCGGGAGGCCAAGGACGCCGCCGCCGGTGCCGGGAAGGCGCCGGAGGTCACCCAGGAGGGCCTCCCGCTGCCGCTCAAGTTCACCGTATTGCCCGAGGGCGCCGGGGAGCCCAAGGAGGGGCAGGGTGCTTCCAAGGGCAAGGCCCACACGCCGACGGCGCGCCAACGACCGTGCAAGGGGCGGGGCCACAGGACAGGAATGAGTACACAACGGGCAGGCCTGTTGTACAACTCCCTCTGCTGCGGGGGGGTCGAGCGACAAGAGCGGTGCACACACACACACACACACTCACACACACACACACACACACACACTCATAAACACTTTTTCACGCCGTGGCCACCAGCGCAGCAGCGCGGCGTAGTGCAGGTCGCGCGGGAGCGAGACGCGCGCATACACTCACACGCACGTATGCACAGCGGTCCGTGCCAGTCCAGCCCGGTCCCAAGAGCGGTGCGCGTGGGATCGGTGTATGTGCATAGTACATGCTCTTTCTTCTGAGAGAAGGCTTCGTGTACCATGTCTGCTTCCTGAAGGTCGGTGGCCCTTCAGGGAGGGCGCTGTGTGTGTGTGTGTGTGTTTCTTTAGGGGCGGGGCGGGGAGGGGGGGCACCACGGGCAAGATCTCTGGCACGCAGGAAGGTCAGGACGGGGCGGCGGCGGGAACGTTATCGTGGCCAGTGGCGCTGGCGTCAGCGGTAAAGGTGGGTGGGGGGTGGGGGCTGAGGGAGGAGGAGGAGGAGGAGGAGGAGGAGGAGGATGAGGAGGAGGAAGAGGAGGGGGAGGAAGAGGAGGAGGAGGAGGTGGAGGTGGAGAAAGAGGTGGAGGAGGAGGAGGAGGAGGAGGAGGAGGAGAAGCGGAGGAGGAGGAGGAGGAGAGGAGGAGGAGGAGGAGGAGGAGGAGGAGGAGGAGGAGGAGGAGGAGGAGGAGGAGGAGGAGGAGGAGGAGGAGGAGTAGGAGGGAGGAGGAGGAGCAGGAGCAGGAGCAGGAGGAGGAGGAGGAGGAGGAGGAGGAGGAGGAGCAGAAGGTCTGGAGGAGGGTATGGAGGGAGGGGAAGGACGGTGCCTCGGGCCCTCGGTGAGAGGCAGCCGTGCCCCACCCCAGGCGCAGCGGTGCCCTGCGCGCTGGCCTCGCGCCGTGTCCCAGCGGTCCTGCCCGCTGCCCCCTGTGCCTGCTGCCTCGTGCGCCGCTGTTCGCCTGGCATGCCGCTCACCGTGTCCCTTCGGGAGAGGGTCGCCTCCTCCAAGCTACCTGTCCGCAGCCGCGGCGGGAGCTGGCGCAGGAGCATGGCGAGGAGGGGAAGCGGATCGCTCCGCGCACGACGACCGCAGTCTGGGGTTGGTGGTTTTGGCATCATTCCAGGTGGGGGCCAGGGTCGCTGACGCGTCCTGATTCCGGAGCCTTTCGACGGGGGTCAATACAAGCGGGGGTCAGCCAGAGCGCCCGATCTTGCAGGATCCTGCAGGGCCAGCGTCGCACTGACCCGGGCTTTGGGTGCAGGATCGTGCAGGATCCTTCGCGTTGACTTGGGTTTGGGTGCAGGATCTTGCAGGATCTCGCAGGAGTCTGCAAGGCCTGACTGACCCAGGGCTGGATTGACCCGGGCCAGAAGATCCCCGATCCCTTGCCCGTTGCCCTTCTTCCTGCTGTCGCGTGCGCCGCTGTTCGCTCGGCATGCTGCTCATCGTATGCAATTGCAAATCCCCCCTGGCGGATCCAGGCCACTTGCGAGGAGTCACCTTGCGAGTAGCGGATCGGCCTTATCTAGCTCAGATCTCTGGATTTGTACTGATCGGGATTGTGGTGCCGAGGCGCATCGAAGAACGAACCATTGCAAAAACACAATTTCCCGGAGCTCCGCGCGGATTTCTCTTGGATCTGCGCTGGGCCCTCCTGGCGGCACCTCCGGCGCCGCCCCTGGCGCGCTCCGCGCGACGGGGAGGGGGGGCCAGTATCGATCCAAGAGATCCGCGCGGATCTCCGCATGTTTAAGTTCATTGTTCCATAAGGCTTTGACGACTTTTCGCCAGCCGCCTTGCGGGGATCAAGCCGGATAAATGAAGGTAAATGCAGACAGGTCCAGGTATATATAGTAGATCCAGGAAGCTCCCGGCACATCCAGGTAAATCCAGAGATCTCCAGCCGAAGAAAAACCAGGGAAATACACATATTTGTGTTGGCGCTCCGCGCGGTTTTCTTGGATCTGCGCTGGGCCCCGCGGGCGGCGCCTCAGGCGCAGCCCCTGGCGCGCTCCGCGCGCAAGGGCGAGGGGTCCAGCGCGGACCCAAGAAGTCCGCGCGGAGCGCCAAAAGTTTATGCTTATGGCGTTTTTGCGTTATGTTCTTCTACCTACGCAAAGTCGGAGCAACAAGTGGCCGCTCCAACGCGAGCCGAGGGACGGCTGACGTCGTGGAGCCCGCAAGGATCTACGCGGTTCTTTCTCCCACGCACGCAGCGATCTGTCGGGACCTACAGTGGAGACCCATGCCAAGAAACACCCTGCCTGCCTCGAGGGTGCCCTGGGCCTCTTGGGTTTCGATGGCCTGACTGTGTAGGGCGCGACGCTCCCACACCGAACACCAAAGACGCCCTTGGGTCCCAGCGCTGTGTCTCCTCTGGAAGGCCTCTTGCGGACTGGCCTCCACTGGGCACCCGGGCAGCGCGGGGCAGGCCCCGCAGGGAGCAGGCGCGGGGCAGCCGAGCTGAGGCGAGGGGGCGCTGGCCGCCTGCGGCCCTCCCCCTCCCTCGGGGGGGGACCCGCCCGCCGCGGCCGCGGGCGTGGAGCCGCGGGCGGAGCTGGGGCAGCGCCGCCGTCGCTTGATGCCGCGGCGCTGACGCTGCGATTCTGCACGGAGCTCTCCCGGGGAGCCCCCCGAGAGCCACGAGGGCTTCAGATCAGCAGCCGTCGCCTGATGCTGAGGCGCTGACGCTGCGACTCGGCATCGAGCGGTGTTCCCGGAGAGTCCTCTGAGAGCTCTGCGAGGGCTTCAGACCAGAAGCCGGCACCGCAGGGCAGCCCCGGAGCTCGGTCCGGCCTCCGTCAGGACACCTCGGCGGAGCTTGCCTGAACTCGCAGCCTGTCCCGAGGGGCCTCCTGTGAGCGTTTCCCACTACGGGTGTCCGGGAGCTCTCCAGAAGCTCCCCGGCCGCTGCCTCGCGCGGCGGCTGCGGCAGGCCAGGAGGGGGAGGGGGGAGGGGGCGGAGGAGTTCACGCTCGAGCTCGACAGCGAGCCTGTCACGATGGGCCGCGGTCTGAAGAACGCCGTCATCATCTCGCACCCAGGACCCCTCGGCCCCGCCGCGCTGCACTCCCCCCCCGTGGTGTGTCTCTGTGTCCGCCTCGTCCTCCTCACTTGGCCTCTCTCTCCCTCTTCCTCTCCCTCTCCACATCGTTTGTGTGCGCGCGCATGTTTGTTTGTGTGTGTGTTCTCTCTCCCTAGTTTCTGTTATTCTCTCTATATATATGTATACATAGATCTCTCTCTCTCTTCTCTCTCTCTCTCTTTCTCTCTCTTTCTCTTTCGTTCTCTCTCTCTCTCTCTCTTTCACCGCTCTCTCTCTCTCTCTCGTTTTCCATCGTGCGTAGCGTTTCGGGCTCAAGCCAATGTGGCTCAAGACTTTGTCTGGCTCGCATACCGTAGTGTCATATGCGGTACGTCCTGAGATTTCAGGTTGTCTTTTCCTCCGCATCTCTCTCTATCGTCCGTAGCCAGTAGGGCTCAAGCCAATTGAGCTCAGCACTTTGTCTGGATCGCTTACCGCACTGTCTCACACGGTACGTCCTGAGATGTCAGGTTGTCCTTTGCTGCGCATGTCTGTGTCTGAAGACCGTGTCGCCGCCTTTGCTGCAGTGCTCGAGGCCATCATTGCAGTTCCTATGCGGCGTGCTCTGCAGGAACACATGGTAGCGTCCAAAACCCGGAGAGCAAAGAGGCACTCACACCGGAAAGCTTGCCTGACGAGCTCTGGGAAGCTCTCCTAAAGCGTTTCTGAAGCACTGCCAGGCACGCTTCCACGCGTGCCTGCACGCGTGCAGGCACGCGTGGACGCGTGCCGGAAGCGCTCCCGGACCAGCTGCCGGTTCAAACGAACTTCTGCGGGGATTCTGGAGCGCCGTGGAGGAGCTGCTGGCAGGCACCACCACTGTCCGGCTTCTAATCTAAAACCCTATAGCTCTCAGAGAGCTCTCCGGGAATCTCATTCGTCAAGCTGTTGGTGGGCGGAGGTGGTGTCCAGAGGAAGGGCAATCAGACGCCGGGAGGCACCGGAGCGGTGATTTCTGACTTCGAGGCCATGCTGCATTGTGCAGGCGAGGCATTGGGCTTCGCTCGTAACGCGACTTTTGGACAAATGTTCGCCATGCGCTTCGGGCCATTCCAGAGGAGTCACTGGCCAAAGCTTGGGCTGGCTTCAGGGCTGGCCGCCGCGCCCTTTCCCACCCCGAACCAGGTCTGACTGCCGGCGTCACGTCTTAGCTCTTGCGCGGACATGCCAATTCGCTGCCGGAGTCCGACGCCACGGCTGGGGCTTCGGCGTCGGCGGTCGAGGCGCTTGCTGGCGAGGCTCGCGGCTGCGAGGCGCCCCGGCCCCAGGCGACAGACGGTAACACCGAGGATTTTTCGGGCCTGGGCGAGGATGCCACCAAGCCGACGGTCAATGTCAGCACCGAAGACCGTTCACAGATGGACGAGAAGGTCAGCAAGTCGGAGTGTTTGTACGAGCAGCTCCTGAAGCACAAGTTGGTGGCAGACGCCCAGCCTGCTGCTGAGAAGAGCTACGGGGGTGACCTTACTAGTAACGACAGCACCTCGGGCATACATGCGAAGTCAATCCCAGCTGGACCGCAGAAGGACATTGATGCAATCTGCAAGCTCACCAAGTTAGTTGTTCACGTAGAACGTTTCCTTTCACAAGCCCGCGGGGGAGACGAACGCAGTGCTGGCTTCCTCCACGTTCAAGGAGGCCTGCGACCTATAGGAGGTCGAGACGGGCGATCAGATCCTGGACACAGAGAGTGGTGGCAGCACCGAGTGCGTCTCGGACTCATCCACAGCCTCTCCCAGCTGCTCCGCCGGAAAAAGTACCAACAATATGGGACATGGGCGAAGATATGCATGGTGCACTTCTGGAGCTTACGGAGGGGCAGCACCGATTATACTTCGGCCTCATATTCGAAGGCCGTCCCAGTCGTGCCGCAGGAGGACACCGACGCCAACTGCAAGCCGACCCATATGGGCGATGATATTGATCAGGCCCTGCAGGAGTCCGCGGATGAGACGAGGGGCGTGCTGTCGACCGACACGCCCGAGAAATCCTTGGACGTCTAACTATCTGCGGACGTGGACAGCTTCCTCCAGGCGTTGCGCGACACACCCTGGCAGCGTCAAGACACTAGCAGACGTCGTGGACCAGGTTTTTTTCGCGTCCAAGCCTTCAGGTGGCGACGCCATCGTGGCTCTGATGGCCACGCAGAGTGCTTGCACCGCTTCGGCCCGTAGCATCGCTGCCGATGTGGCCCGCCGCTTTGACACGTTTCCCTCTCCGAGTGAATACATCAAGGGGGCATTTCGTGTGGTAGGCTTTGGTGCGCCGCCCCACTCCAGCCACAGTCGCAGGAGCAAGGCTAAACGTCTTCGAAATTAGGGCAGTCTATAGCATCTTCTGTATGGTTGCCTGCGCCTCTGTGATTTCTTAGCGCGTCGCTCGCAGTGCTCGGCCTGCGTGGCACTCCCGCACGGACGTTGTGGCGGCCGCCCCGTGATGCACGTTCTTGGTCGTTGGGTTCGGCTCGGAATGTTGGTGCGGGCAGTAGTTATATCCATATCCCGTGCGCTTTGGATTTTCTTGGAAGGGGCACCTCAAGGCCGAGGCGCACTGGATATTGACAAACATCGAGCCTCTATAGAGGCCAGACTCTTATCCATATCCAGTGTGCCTCGGGGGTCTGGGGGAGGGAGCCCGAACATCCAAGCTGCAGTGGACATGGGCACACGTCTTGCCCGCAGTTGGGTGGCCCGTGTGGGCCCCTTTGGGGCCCAGGCTTGCCGTTGGCCCCGCTCTTGGGGCTCTTGGGCATCCATTGGGCCGTAACCGCGGGGGTGGGGCGCGCGCCGCCCGTGGCCCTTCGGGGTCGCGGAAGTGGCACGCGCCTGTCGGTGCCTTGTCGTGGGTCTTTGTCGCGGTGCCGACTCCTAGAGGCGGCGGTATTCTTCCTGCATGTGCCCCCCGTCGAGTTGGGATGCCAGCGTCCATATGTTTTTACCTCAGCCTGGTGCGAGTGGCTCACCTGCACCTTCGCTGGCTCGCTCGCTCTCTTGTTTTTTTTCTCTCTGTCTCTCTTTCTTTGTCTGGCTCTCTCTCTCTCTCTCTCTATGTGGTTGGTTTGTTGTTATTATTTCTCTATCTCCCCCTTTATGTTTTTCTCTATATCAGCTGTCTCTTTCCATTTTGTGTTTTATGTTCTCCATCTCTCTATCCCCTCTGTATACATGTGTATCTATATATGTATAGTATAGATCTTTACAGATCCTTTTCTCTTTCACTATTTCTCTCTCTCTCTCTGTTTTTTTCTTTCTCCACCTTTGTCACCCCTGTATTTCTCTATATGTCTGGTTCGTTTGTTGCATGATGTCTCTCTCTCTCTCTCTCTTTCTCGCGTTGATTGTCCTTGTTTTGCTACCTGCATACGCGCATCCTCTCTGTGTTGTTATTATATTCCTCTCTCTGTTTCCCCACTCACTCTCTCTCTCTCTCTGTATATACATATATATATATACACATGCATCCTTCCTGCTCGTACACGTGTGTCGCGCATGTCGTGCACATGTGGTGTGATCTTCTATACGTATGCAAATTGCCTGTGCGCGCCCAAGCTCATACAACGACAATCGAGGGCACCAGTGGAGTTGCCAAAGCTTGTGGTTTGGCGTATTCTTTAGACGCACCACAGCGGGCATGAAACTGCAACAGGTGAGAACATATGTGGGTCACCCCACTGGGACCTCGAGAAATACAACGCCCTTCCAACAGTGTTCCGCACATTCGCTGGGTTACATTACGAGTTTGACGGATGTGTCGCAACATGCGGACGCTCTGCGGAGGACAATGTTGAACAACACGTGGTTTTCTAAGAAGTACGCCTGGCACAGTTAACATCCATAGTGGTTTCGGTCGGTATGTGCTGACATGTTGGAAATCACTTGTGATGTTGGGCTTTGACGTCACGATCTGCATGAGTGGCGCGTCCGATCTGCAGCGCTTGGCGGATGTCCCGAGCGAATAAGTGCGAACGCGGGCGCGGACACCTCGACCCTGAGCTCGAACGCGGACGCGGATACCTCGACGCGGACGCGGACCCGAACCGGTCGCTTAGGAGCTCGCCGCCGCCGGGAACGCGCGTATGGCCGGATCATGGCCTCAAGATGCCGGATATGGTGTAATCTTTCCCACACTATAGAATGCCCTCTCTCCCCCGTTTGCGGCGGGCTCCTCAGGACCCCAACTGGGAGGCTCTCAGGATGCTGCTAGTTCCCCTGAAGGTTCCTCATGGGGGCTCATGATCCCTCAGCGGAACTAGGGATGCCTCAGGTAAGAGAGGACCCTAAGGATTCTCAGGGATTCCTTTCTTGATTCCTATGGGTTCCTCTGGACCCTCCGGGACTCATTAGGATTCTTCAGAATTCCAGAGAAGTGATATGGGATGCTTCAGGATTCCCAGAGATTATTCTGGACTCCTCAGTGGTCTTCCAGTTCTTTAGGACCCTTCAAGATTCCTGAGGATTCCTCCGGAACCTTTAGGGGTCCGCAGAATGGTTCAGGATTTCTCATGGGAACATGATGGACCCACGAACCCGGAAAGGGATATAGACATGTGGAGCATGGGCACGTTTTCACGATACCCAACGGGGCAACACCTCACGAAACATCCCACGAGACACCTCACGAAACATCCCACGAGACACCTCACGAAACATTCCGCGAGACACCTCACGAAACATTCCAGGAGACACCCCGCGAAACATTCCACGAGACACCCCACGAAACATTCCACGACGACAGGCAACCACTCAACCAAGGCGGTGTGGTCGTGCTGGGGAGTGGTCGTGCTGGGGTGTGGTCGTGCTGGGGGGTGGTCGTGCTGGGGTGTGGTCGTGCTGGGGGGGTGGTCGTGCTGGGGGGTGGTTGTGCTGGGGCGTGGTCGTGCTGGGGCGTGGTCGTGCTGGGGCGTGGTCGTGCTGGGGTGTGGTCGTGCTGTGGTGAGGTCGTGCTGGGGTGTGGTCGTGCTGGGGTGTGGTCTTGCTAGGGTGGGGTCGTGCTGGGGTGGGGTCGTGCTGGGTGGTCGTGCTGGGGTGTGGTCGTGCTGGGGTGTGGTCGTGCTGGGGAGTGGTCGTGCTGGGGTGTGGTCGTGCTGGGGGTGTCGTGCGTGGCGTGGGGGGGTGGTCGTGCTGGGGGGTGGTCGTGCTGGGGCGTGGTCGTGCTGGGCGTGGTCGAGGTCGTGCTGGGGTGTGGTCGTGCTGGGGTGTGGTCTTGCTGGGGTAGGGTCGTGCTGGGGTCGGGTCGTGCTGGGGTGTGGTCGTGCTGGGGTATGGTCGTGCTGGGGTGGGGTCGTGCTGGGGTGGGGTCGTGCTGGGGTCTGGTCGTGCTGGGGTGTGGTCGTGCTGGGGTATGGTCGTGCTAGGGTGGGGTCGTGCATTTCGCTCGAGACATCCTGCCAAAATTCCAGGAAATCGTACAAAAACAAAGGAATTAGTCGAGACATCATCGAAATTCCTTCGCGCGGGGCGCTTTTCCGCGTCGCGGTCGGCTCTGCAAAACAAGCGTTTCGCTCGAGACATCCTCGGCAAACTCTGCGGAGCAAGCGTTTCGCTCGAGACATCCTCAACTCTGCAAAACCAGCGCCTCGCTCGAGACATCCTCAAGAAATTCTGAAAAACAAGCGTTTCGCTCGAGACTTCCTCAAATTTTAATTCGCCGGCCTCCTTCGACCTCGTTATTTATCAGGGAAAAAATTCGCCGGCCTCCTTCAAGTTGGCACCGGGGGACAGGTTTACCCACTAAAAGAGAACCCTGGGCCCAGGCCCTTTCCGGGAAAAATGGCTGTCAGGATTTCTCAGGTTTCCTCCGGGTCGCCCAGGATTTTCCGGATGTTTGAAAACCATTCGTGGGTGCGCATAGGTTTCTCAGTGGTTCTCAGGTTTCTTTGGTTTTCCATTGTTTATCAGGATGTTTTAGGAGCCCCCTGGATTCCGCATGATTTCGACATATTCCGAAGTACCCCTCCTGAGGTCATCAGAATTCCTCCTGGTCCTTCAGGATGTCCTGGATGTTCTCATAGTTCCCCGTGGTCCCCTTGGAGTCTTCAAGGTTCCTCAGGATCTCTCGGGGATCTTCATGGTCCCTCCAGCCTTTTCAAAGACATCAGGAATCATCAGGGGCGTCCTTTGGACGGGAAGGGTCCTCAGGATTCCTCCAGATTCTTCAGGGTCTCCATGCTTCCTCGGGAATCAGGGGTCTTCACGGGAATTCAGGACCTTGCAGGATCCCGCAGGGTCTTCAGGATTCCATCGGGTTATCCAGGGTCCCTCAGGAGGCCTCGGGATTCGCTGGGTCTCTCAGGGGTCTTCAAGTCCGCGGCCGCGCGCTTGATCATAGTCATGCCCAGGTTCGGCGGGCAAAATCCCAGAGCCGCGGGGCCCTGGGCCGTTGCCATCCTCGCGGGCGGAGGCTGTGGAGGAGGAGGCGAGGCCTCAAACATTCGAGGACCCCTTGCCTGATGAAGGCGGCGGTGATGTCCATGGCCAAACCTCAGTTGGTGTTCCCCCGGCTTCCAGACCCTACATTCCTGATCAATGGTTTAGACATGCAAGGGTTTCTTATACAATGCCTTCGCCGTATGAGGGGCAGTTTTGACAGCAACAGCAGTTTGGCGGGGGCAGCGATCGGTTTCCGAGGGTTTCCCCCCTCCCCCCTGCCGCAGGGATATCTGTGGCCCACGGCGAGTTCAAGCTGCTGCCCAAGCCCGGCGCGGAGGGCATGTACGTGGTGGGCTACGAGGACAAGTCCTCCAACGGCAGCGGTTTGAGGGTGCCGCGAGCGGCTCCCGATGGCCTCTCACAACTCCCCATCTCCGCTCGACGCGTCTCGCGTTTGGTCGCCTGCTCCCCACCTTCCCCCTCCCCGCGCCAAAGAGGAGGAGGAGGAGGAGGAGGAAGAGGAGGAGGAGGAAGAGGAGGAGGAGAAGAAGAACTTGTGTAAGCCCGAGACCCATCGATGATGTTGAAATGCACCACACCCTGTTTCCAAGATCCCTCTTCACAGTCCCTACAAGGGTTCATTTCCACTGAGGGAATTGCCCCGTCGGGGGACAACCGTGCGAACAGGAACCAGTGAAACCGTTGCAGATGTCTGGAACGAATGTGCGCGGCGCTAAGGCGAAAACCACATGTTTGAAAACAGCCCGCCATCAAACCGTGAAGCTCTTGCAATTTTGTAGAACGAATGCTCGCGGCGCTCAAGTGAGAGCCACATTTTGGAAACGGACCGCCCTCAATCCGTGAAATCCTCGCATACTCGTAAAACGAATGCGCGCGCCGAGAAAGCGAGATGCACATGTTGAAAACAACACGCCCACAAAGCTGCGAAACTCTTGCAATGATGTAGAATGAATATGCGCGGCGCGAACGCGAGAGTCACACTCTGAAAACGAACCGCCCCCCATCCAAGAACCCCTTCCTATTTCAGTAACGGATGTGCGCGGCGCTAAGGCGAGAGCCACATTTTGAAAGCGACTCGATGCAAATCCGTGAAACTCTTGCTATGCTTTACAGCGAACGTCCGCGGCGCTGGGGCCTGAGCCACATTTTGAAAATGAGCCGCACTCAAACCGTGAGGCTCTTCCAAAGTGTTTAGCATCACGGTCATAAGTGGTGAGGAGGTCTGCGAAGCGCCCGGCCCGCCCTTTCGACCGGCATCAGTGTTCGACAAGCGGAAGTGATTTAGAGTGTAAGGAACATGAATGCAGGAGGGGGAGGAGGTGGATGAGGAGGAAGAGGATTCGAGTGGATTCGAGCGATACCAACTAGTGGCACGCCTCCCGCTGCCTGCCACCAGCGCCCCTCCTGGACACCAGGGGCGTCCCCGAGCAAGAACTGACAGGAAAACATCGCTACGCACGAGCAGGTCTCTGCATTGTAGCTGACGTTTACTCGTCCGTCCACCTGCGGCAACAGAGCCTGCTTCCGCTGCCGTGGTTCTCGCACGACACGATCCCCGCAGTCCCGTTAGCTGAGCACCTGCCCCAGTCCCACGGGCACCTGCACGCACGACTTTTTCCTTGCACTGTGGCAGAGACGTGTCGCGCACGACCTCCCCCTGGCCACACTTGACAGTTGAAATTTTGCCAGCGCTGTAGGTTATGGCATCGGGCTGTAACTTCGCATCCCGCTCCTCGCAGAATGCAGTCGGAGACCGCGTTTTAGCTGATGGCGTGCATACTGGCTCTGCAAACCGTTCTGTGCACATCTGCTCATTTGGCCATTTCGCGTACGAGCTATTCCCGGCGTTGACGCTGATGATGTTCGTTCCTGCACCTGCCGCGTTCGAGCCAGGCCAACATTTGTTGCCACTGCGCTGCCGTCTCGCATTGCCAGCTCCTGTTGCCCTTGCATGTCGTCGCACACGAGCTGATCCCAGCGTCGTAACTGATAGCGTCCGCTCCTGCACTTGCCCCCTTCTCGCAGTGCCAGAACATGCTGCCACTGCGTGCCCTTCTCAAACGGGCTGCTCCCAGCGCTTGCTGTCGCTGCATGCCTTCTTGCTCACACGGGCTGCTCCTAGCCTTGCTGTTGATCGTGGCCCACCCGCACCTCGCCCTCCTCGCACGCCCTGAAGCCAACGCTGAGTCCGACGGCATCGGGCTCTGTCTGCACGAGCTACTCCCAACGTTGTAGCTGATCAGTCGCTCGCTGCTGCCTGTCTCTCACGCGCTGCTCCCAGCGCTGCAGCTGCTGTGCCGCCCGCTGCACGGCACTGGGCTCCAGCTTCGCCTCCCGCTCCTCGCAGAATGACGCCCGAGCCGCCTGCCGCCCTTCGCCCTCGCATGCCCTGACCCCAGCGCTGCAGCTGATGACATCGTGCTTGCACTTCGCGTTCCACCCCGCGGTGTAGCGACAGAGGGCTGCTGCCACTGCTTGGCCTTCGAAATGGTCCCAGCCCCTGCAGCTGACAATGTTGGCCGATACTGGCTCACATCTCACAGGTCGACGCACATACTCTTGATCATTACGGGGGAACGCCCCCCTTGAAAGACTAGCACCTGTGTGCCTGCCATTCGGGCGCAGGCAGGAGCATGGGGGAGGGTGTGGCCCGCCAGCCGCAGCCGCTCTCTGCCTGCACTCTTGTAGCCGCGCCCCTTTGGCGGTCGCTGCTGCTTGCCGGGTCGACGAGGTGGGGGGAGGGAGGAACAGGAGGAGGGGCGATAGGAGGGCGCGGATTTGGTCGACTACGCGCGTGCCTGGTCGCAGCACGGTACCTGATCTCGTCGGGCTCCATGTTTCCTCATGGCGGCCCTTGAGCGCATTGCTTCTTCAAAGTCTGCGCACTGGAGCACTCGCGCGCCCCGTGCAGGGGCGGGGGGGGGGCGCTTGGGCGCGAAATGGCCATGAGGAGGAGGAAACGGAAGCGGAGGCGAAGGAGGAGGTGGAAGGAGGAAGAGGAGGAGGAGGGGGGAATAACCAGTAAGGAGGGAAGAGGAAGGGGGAGGGAAGAACAGGAGGGAGGAAGGAGGGGAGAGGAGGAAGGAGGAAATGGAGGCAAAGGAGTAAGAGAAGGAAAGAGGAAGGAGGACGAGGAGGCGAAGGTCCAGCAGGAGGAGGGGGAGGAGGAGGAGAATCCTGCCGTGGCCCCCACCGCTCCCATGCCCTGGCCCTCCTCGCTGTGGCGCCCTCGTCTTTCCCTTTGTGCCTCTGCGTTCCCCCCCTGCACCTTGGATGACGCCCTCCTCCACCCCTTGGTTTCGCAGACGCTGTGCGGCTGGCCGCCCGCCTACCAAGTAGAGGAAGGCAAAGGCACTTCCTCGACCGCGCCCTGGTCGACAGGATCGTGAAGGAGGCGCGTTGGGAGGGCAGGTAAGCAGGATTGGGACTGGCCTCAGGCACGTTCCACCTCCACTCCTTCGTTCCTTGTAGAGGTGTTCCACGTCGGACCGTCCAATGGCCTGTTCCTTGGCGAAGTTGGCCCACGCGGAGATCATTGCCGCCTCATCCTGCCGCTCCTCCGCCTGCCTGAGGTGCTCCTCGTATTTGAGCACGTCCTCGACGGCGTCGGCCTGCTTGCGCTCCTCATCCCTGCTGGCGCCATCAGCCTGAGCAAAGGCTTCACTTTGGGCTGGCGGGGAAGCTTTCGCCGCCTGCGTTCCCTTCGTGGCCCCCATGGCCTTGACAACCTCTGCGGATGTCGGGTCAGCCTGGGCGGCGCTCAGGAGGGTTGACACAGCTCTGATCTGCCGTTGGAGTTTTGGTTCCTCGATCACGCCTCGGTCCCAGTCTTTCCAGCACCCGGGGCATCAGCAGCTTGTGGCCGGGAGCTTCGAATTGTGTCCACCATGGCCTCACGCCTTGCAGCGATTCTACAGGTATTGGTTCGCTGCGTCTCGCTTCGTCATCTGGAGACTGTGTGATACCAAACTGTGGTCTGCTCGTGTTTCCCCAAACACCACGTGGCGGTGCAGAGCCATATTTACCTGCCTTGTTGTGGCTACGAGGGTTTTGTTTCAACTGTTGAAACTGGCCTGCTCCTTGGCGAGATGGAGCTTCCCGTCCGTTCCTCTTCCGCCTTCCCTGCCCCTTCCCCCTTGAAGGACGTCGGTGCCCTCCTTCTCGCCGCACCACCCGATGGCCTGCTTCTTGGCGGCGTGGGCCTCCGACCGCATCCTGACCGCCTCGGCCTCCCGCTCCCCGGCCCGCCCAGAGGTGCCAGTGGCACTCGGGGAGCTCGGCCCCGGTCCGGCCGGTGTGTCCCTGCTCGTGATGTGAGGGCTGTTGTCCGCGGGCACACAGGCCACCTGCGTGTCTTGCTGCGCCGAAGATAAACAAGCGAGGGCGCGTGGCTCGTGGAGGTCGCTTTTGGGGTGTTTCCGGATGCCGCCCGCCCGTGCGAACGGGGCGGTCGCCGAGGAACGAGAGTTGCGCAGAACCGTGCTTAGAGGTTCCACAGCGGTATCCACGGACCCCTACCTGTGGACAAACGTTCCAGCAGCTGGAGTTGACCCTTCCCCCCCCTCCTCCTCCTCCTCCTCCTCCTCCTCCTGCTCCTGCTCCTGCTCCTCCTCCTCCTCGTCCTCCTCCTCCTTTTCCTCCTCCTCCTCCTCCTCCTCTTCCTCCTCCTCCTCCTCCTCTCCTCCTCCTCTCATCATCATCATCATCATTGTGGCACCCCGCGTGGCCCTCCTCGCTTTGGGGTCCCCTTTCGGGGCCAGGGGGGTGTCTCCTTCCAGTTGAGGGGCCCACCATTGAAGGTATGGGTTCAGCGGGCATTCGGCCACACTAGATTGGCCGTTTTTAGCCCCCACTGTTTTGTTTCTTTTTCCTGGACCTGCAGTCCCCCGCGTTTCTTCGTTTTTGTTATGATCCTCCCTACTGTCATCCTCCCCCTCGCAGCAGCACTAACGCCCCGCACGTGTGTTGCCCTTGTCCTTCGACCAGGTTGCTCGGGGCCCACCCGCCGATTGGAAGTAGGGGCGCGTTCCCAGCCCGAGCCCCGAGCACTTCCCCCCCCTCGTCCTCTGCCCGCACGTCCTCGCTGTTGGAGCCGCACGCCGCGCCTCGCGAATCTCAGCCTCTGCCGGCCACGGGCTCGCGAGTTTCTGGTCGGAAACTGGAGCACACGCATCACCAGTGGCGGGTTGGTTTTCGATCCCAGGACTTGGTGTGGGGTGGTCGCAGTGTACAGTGCCGTTTTTTTTTTTATACACGCTCCGCGTGCGGATCATGTATTTAACATGCAGGGATTTTGTATTACAAACAACGATGAGTTCATGCATACATGTATTCATAAATTAATCGTTCTTAAGAATCATATGTTTTAAAAGCCCTATGTATTAAAAACTGCCCTGTACGCAGCAGGCGGCCAGCCGTCCCTGCGAAAAACCCAAACAAAGTGATCGCCAGGCGTTCCGCCGCCGCCGAGCCGCGGCCCGCCCCCCCAAACCCGCCCCGCAGTGCCCATTTCGGCCAGATTCGATCTCGATCCTCTGACGTTGTGAAGGTCGATGGCGGCATCGGGGAGGTGTGGTGTGTACTTGTTGTTCTATTCCTCGGGGAACCAACGAAATACGTATACAGGCACCAGGACCCCGTATACACCTGGATTCGCCTTCCTGCGCAAGTGCCAGCGCAGGCTGGAACAAAAAAACGTTTGTGAGTATGGAGTTGTCCTTCTCTGGCATGCACTGTACACCAGTCTTACTTCGTGCACTGTGCCTGCACGCCGAGTTAGCGCATATGTTTCGACCAGCTCGAGGGGGCGCCCCACGTCCAGGAAAGCAGAGGAGGGCAACGTTGGTCGACCCCATGTTGGGTGCCTTTTTTTACAAGCTCGAGAAGGCGCCCCACGTCCAGGAATGCAGATGAAGAAAGCGTTGGGGGGAGCGAACAAGAGGAGGCGGAGGAGGAGGAGGAGGAGGAGAAGGAGGCGGAGGAAGAGGAGGAGAAAGAGGAGGAGGAGGAGGAGGAGGAGGAGGAGGAGGAGGAGGAGGAGGAGGAGGAGGAGGGGGAGGGGGAGGGGGAGGGGGAGGGGAGGAGGAGGAGGAGGAGAAGGAGGAGGAGGAGGAGGAGGAGGAGGAGGAGAAAGGAGGAGGAGGAGGAAACGGAGGAGGAGGAAAAGAGGAGGAGGAGGAGGAGGAGGAGGAGGAGGAGGAGGAAGGGGTGGAGGAGGAGGACGGCGCCCCACGTCCAGGAAGTCGGAGGAAGGCAGCTTTGGGGGGCGAGCAAAGAGGGAGAGGCATCGGCAGCAGCAAGTGCAACATCGCGCGGGCTCGGCTGGCGGCCGCCGCCGCCGAGCTCGTGCACAGGGCTACCATGTGGTCGTATGATATAAAAGATCCTCTCCCTCCTCCTCTTCCTCCTCCTCCTCCTCCTCCTCCTCCTCCTCCTCCCTTCCCCAGACCCCCTCGAGTTGTGACAGGAATCACGACGGGATTTTTTTTGTTTTTTCGGCCTCCTGGGCCAATACCAGGCCTCAGGGCCGACAAAAAACGATTCAGGATGAAAAGCCTCTGGGGGGTGACGTCGTGGAACAACTACATCGTCGGGGGTCTGGGTCCGCAGCCGCCGACCCAGCCGCCGCCGCCTCTCCCCATCGACGCACCCACCCTTCCCCCTCCTCCCCTCCTCCTCTTCGCCCTCTTTCCCCCCTCCTCCTCCACGATGTAGCTCCTCCTCCTCCCCCTCTTCCGCCGCCGACCCAGCCGCCGCCGCCTCGCCCCCTCGGCGCACCCTCCCACTCCTCGGAGCCCGACCCGCCTTCGCGGCCGCTCCGCCTCCGTGGCGCCTGCCGAGCCGCTTGGGCCGCTGCCGCCGACGCCCGCGGCAGCCCGCGGCGGCGCCGGCGCCGGCGCCGGCGCGCGCGCGGAGGCGCCGGGGGCCGAGGAGAAGACGAAGTGCGAGAAGGGCAAGGCGCGGGGGGGCCCGCTGCCCGGTTGGCCGGCCAGGCAGCGCCGCAGGCGGTTGCCGAGGGCGGTAAAGAGGGGGATGAGGACAACGGGGGGGGATATCATGGCGGGGCCATGATATCTCCCCAGATTTCGTAGCGCCTCTTCTTATTTCAATACGCCCCCAGCCCACCCCCCCTGGGCCGCGCACGTGCCGCCGGCCATGATTTGCGCCTCCCCCTCTTGGACGCTCCCCTCTTGGCCGCCCCCGAGATTTGAGGCGGGTCGATCCCGTTCGGCGAATGGAATCGCCTTGGCCGCTGGTTCGATGCGGGAGGCCTCCCGCCACGGGGTGCCGGACGATCCGAGCCTGGTCCAGTGCAGGGCGGGCGATGGTGCGACGCGGCTTTGGACTTTGAGTCGGCGCGTTGGCAGCGGGAGAGGGAGGGGCAAGGTCGCACCCTCGTGGGTGGCCCCTCGGCCTGAGCGGAGTCGCTGGCAGTGCTAGGGAGCCCCGATCACATTTTCCTGAGCGCTCGCTAGCCTGCTGGCGAACGCCCACAATAGCACCAGGCTGTAGCGACGCCTCAAGGAAATCGAGGCGGAAAGAGGAGGCGCCACCGATCGCCATCAGTGATTACGTTACATATGCGGGGGACTTCGCCTGTCCCTAAACTTGGTGTCTCTTCTTGTGCCCGACGCGGGCTTGATGCGGACTCGACCTGGATCTGGCGTGGGTCCGACTCGGATTCGACGTGGACTCGACGCCGATTTGACGAGTCCGTCGTGGACTCGACAACTCGACGCGGACAGGGGCGCGATGGGAGAGACAAGGTCACCGAAGATGCAACACAACCGTGAAGCGGGCGGGTCCTGAGGGAAACGGGGCCCGCGGGGTCTTCCGCCGTCGTGCGGGCCCGCGGGGCCCCTTGGCTCGCGGCCCACGTGGCCGCCCACGAGCGGTTTTCGGGACGAGAGGCGCGAGGCACGTGTCCCAGAGGTCCTGCTACCAGTGCCAGCAAAGTACCTCTGCTTCGGTCGCCCGCGGGGCAGCTGAAGGCACATGCATCTTTAGCCGCTGGAGGGCGCAGAGAAAACAGGCAGGACGGCGCGAATGTCGTACCACTGAGGGCCCATCTGGGTGGTGCTGGGATGCAAGAAACCCGCGCGGAGCGCGACAAATGTATGATTGTGCTTAACAAAATCTTGTGGAAAGAAAGAGAACATGTCGGGCTGGATGTAATTGTTGGGGCGCGATGATGGAGGGGAACCTGGCGTGGTGCGACAGCTGCTGCATGCAGCTGGATTCGTCTCCGCAGGAAACATGATGGACCCACGAACCCGGAAAGGGATATAGACATGTGGAGCATGGACACGTTTTCATGATACCCAACTGGGCAACACCTCACGAAACATCCCACGAGACACCTCACGAAACAGCCCACGAGACACCTCACGAAACATTCCACGAGACACCTCACGAAACATTTCACGAGACACCCCGCGAAACATTCCACGAGACACCCCACGAAACATTCCACGACGACAGGCAACCACTCAACCAACACCTCACGTCACGAGACACCCCGCGAAACATTCCACGAGACACCCCACGTGCTGGGGTGTGGTCGTGCTGGGGAGTGGTCGTGCTGGGGTGTGGTCGTGCTGGGGGGTGGTCGTGCTGGGGGGTGGTCGTGCTGGGGGGGTGGTCGTGCGGGGGGGTGGTCGTGCTGGGGCGTGGTCGTGCTGGGGCGTGGTCGTGCTGGGGCGTGGTCGTGCTGGGGTGTGGTCGTGCTGTGGTGGTCGTGCTGGGGTGGGTCGTGCTGGGGTGTGGTCATGCTGGGGTGGGGTCGTGCTGGGGTGTGGTCGTGCTGGGGTGTGGTCGTGCTAGGGTGGGGTCGTGCTGGGGTGGGGTCGTGCTGGGGAGTGGTCGTGCTGGGGTGTGGTCGTGCTGGGGTGTGGTCGTGCTGGGGCGTGGTCGTGCTGGGGTGGGGTCGTGCTGGGGTGGGGTCGTGCTGGGGTGGGTTCGTGCTGGGGTGCTCCGCACCCTGTGATTTATCGATCGGGTCGTGCTGGGGTGTGGGTGCGTGTCGTGTCTGGGGGTGGTCGTGCTGGGGGTGGTCGTGCTGGGGTCGTGGTCGTGCTGGGGTGGTCGTCGTGTCGTGCTGGTGAGGTCGTGCTGGGGTGTGGTCGTGCTGGGGTGTGGTCTTGCTGGGGTAGGGTCGTGCTGGGGTCGGGTCGTGCTGGGGTGTGGTCGTGCTGGGGTATGGTCGTGCTGGGGTGGGGTCGTGCTGGGGTGGGGTCGTGCTGGGGTCTGGTCGTGCTGGGGTGTGGTCGTGCTGGGGTATGGTCGTGCTAGGGTGGGGTCGTGCATTTCGCTCGAGACATCCTGCCAAAATTCCAGGAAATCGTACAAAAACAAAGGAATTAGTCGAGACATCATCGAAATTCCTTCGCGCGGGGCGCTTTTCCGCGTCGCGGTCGGCTCTGCAAAACAAGCGTTTCGCTCGAGACATCCTCGGCAAACTCTGCGGAGCAAGCGTTTCGCTCGAGACATCCTCAACACACGAAAAAGTGGCCCGCACCCTGTGATTTATCGATCGGGATTTCAAAAACAAGCGTTTCGCTCGAGACATCCTCAAATTTTAATTCGCCGGCCTCCTTCGACCTCGTTATTTATCAGGGAAAAAATTCGCCGGCCTCCCTCAAGTTGGCACCGGGGGACAGGTTTACCTACTAAAAGAGAACCCTGGGCCGATGCCCTTTCCGGGAAAAAAAACATACCTCCCTCGATCCCATGGCCGCCCCTGGTGCAGGGAGCTGCTCGACCCCCTCCGTTCCCCTGTCGTGCGCCATCGAGAAGTGCAATTGCCTCACACAAGGTGGAAGGGAGGAGGGGAGAGTGCTTCGTATACTTGTTTGGATGCCGATCGTCCTCGAAGAACAAAAAACGGCATATGCATAAACTCTTGACGGTCCGCGCGGACGCCTTGGATCCGCAGAAAGGTTCTGCATTCAGCTGGATTCGTCTCCGCAGAACAGGAGCACTTCCCTCGACTGCATGGCCGCACCCAGCGCAGCGAGCTGCCCGACCCGCCCCCCCCCTTTTCGTTCGCCCCCGATAAAGGCAAATGCCGGGACTGTCACACCCAAGGTAAACGGGAGGGATGGATAATGCTCCCTATATTTCTGTGGATGCCGATCCTCCCCCGCCCCCTCCCGTAGCCATTTTGGCTCAAGATGCCAGGTTCCCCTGCGGACCAATTGGATATCGCTAGTCCGCGGCTCACAGAAGGGCTAGCCTGTTCGGCCATCTTTATTTTGCCCATACTGACAGTACGAGTCCAGGCGCCCGTTTCGATCTGGTGCCAGGCAATCTTCCTCCTTTGGCGCAGTCGTACACGCTCCTTGTGGGGACAAAAACGTTCATGGGCATTCCAGGCGTGGGAGCCCAGACCCAGACCCAGGCGCGGACATTTCCGAGCAGGCCGCACGAGGTTTGCAGCGAATGCAGCCACTGGAAATACACGAGTCGTGGAAAGGAAGCGTGTTAGCATGTTCGAAGTGCGGAGCCGAGTATGTATCTAATCATGGGGAGTCCAGCCAAAGGAGATCAGCACCGGAAGTCTAATGATCAAGCCGTCGGGATCCCAGCTGAGCTCGTGAAGCTCTGTCCACCTTGTTGGCGGTCAAACCCGAGCTGTAGGCAAACCTTCGAGAGTTTGCTCTCGCCCAGTGTGTTTAGCTCCCACATCATCGCAGCTGGATGCGGCTGCGAATGGAGAAAAGTCCCATCTTGCCCGTGCCCGTGAAGATGCTGTTCAAACATGATGGACCCACGAACCCGGAAAGGGATATAGACATGTGGAGCATGGACACGTTTTCATGATACCCAACTGGGCAACACCTCACGAAACATCCCACGAGACACCTCACGAAACAGCCCACGAGACACCTCACGAAACATTCCACGAGACACCTCACGAAACATTTCACGAGACACCCCGCGAAACATTCCACGAGACACCCCACGAAACATTCCACGACGACAGGCAACCACTCAACCAAGGCGGTGTGGTCGTGCTGGGGAGTGGTCGTGCTGGGGTGTGGTCGTGCTGGGGGGTGGTCGTGCTGGGGGGTGTCGTGCTGGGGGGGTGGTCGTGCGTGGTCGTGCTGGGGCGTGGTCGTGCGTGGGGTGTGGTCGTGCTGGGGAGTGGTCGTGCTGGGGTGTGGTCGTGCTGGTCGTGCTGGGGCGTGGTCGTGCTGGGGCGTGGTCGTGCTGGGGTGTGGTCGTGCTGTGGTGAGGTCGTGCTGGGGTGTGGTCGTGCTGGGGTGTGGTCTTGCTGGGGTAGGGTCGTGCTGGGGTCGGGTCGTGCTGGGGTGTGGTCGTGCTGGGGTATGGTCGTGCTGGGGTGGGGTCGTGCTGGGGTGGGGTCGTGCTGGGGTCTGGTCGTGCTGGGGTGTGGTCGTGCTGGGGTATGGTCGTGCTAGGGTGGGGTCGTGCATTTCGCTCGAGACATCCTGCCAAAATTCCAGGAAATCGTACAAAAACAAACGAATTAGTCGAGACATCATCGAAATTCCTTCGCGCGGGGCGCTTTTCCGCGTCGCGGTCGGCTCTGCAAAACAAGCGTTTCGCTCGAGACATCCTCGGCAAACTCTGCGGAGCAAGCGTTTCGCTCGAGACATCCTCAACACACGAAAAAGTGGCCCGCACCCTGTGATTTATCGATCGGGATTTCAAAAACAAGCGTTTCGCTCGAGACATCCTCAAATTTTAATTCGCCGGCCTCCTTCGACCTCGTTATTTATCAGGGAAAAAATTCGCCGGCCTCCCTCAAGTTGGCACCGGGGGACAGGTTTACCTACTAAAAGAGAACCCTGGGCCTATGCCCTTTCCGGGAAAAACCAACTGTCAACGCAAGGTGGCCGTGTTCAAGCACTAGCTCGACGACGCCACAGACTTGTTGTCCGCTTCCGTGCGGCAGCGGGAAGAAGCAGCACAAGCCAGGCAAGAAACTGATT